ATGGAGGCATTTCGACACATCCTGCCCCAGCGGTCTGCTGCTGTTTGCACCCCACCGCCGGCTGCAGCCCCTCTGTCTGCTCGTCGCCGAGGGCGCAGGAAACCGGCGCAGGCCGCCTCCGCCCCTGCCAAGCCCGTGAAGCGCCAGAGCAGGCGGCGTCCCTGAGACAGGTGACCCGGAGCTCTTGGATCCTGCTCTTCAGGAGATGGTGACTGCACCACTCCTTCCCCCGGAGGAGGGCCGGGTGGAGAATCTCATGTTTCCGTTTGTTTTGTTCCGCCACTGGCTACCCAGCCAGTGGTACCCAAAACTTCAATAAAAGAGCAGTTTCCTTTGCCTCCGGGTCCCAAGAGGGCGAGGATGGCGGTGCACGAGACCCAGTCTCCACACGGCCGTCCCCCTCTCCCTTCGCTAATGGGCAGCAGGGATCGGTTCAAGGACACTATGCCTCCTCACGAGCCCCCTGCCCAGCCGTGGAGCCAGGTAAGTGGTACGCTGCGCACTCAGACCCCACTCTGGGATGCATGGCCTCCCGGGTTGGGTCCCTGTGTTCCACCTCGCTGCCCCACTGCGGGTACGTCGGTGGTTTCCCTGGTCATGCTGGTTCGGTCACTGGGGGCCTGGCTAGAGCTCCCCAGGCCGTCTCGCTGGCTCATGAGAACCATCAGACTCGGCTACGCGATTCAAGACCCTCAGCCCGTGGGCAGATCTTGCCTTTCTTTGGACAGGGGTGTCCCTTTAAGAGGGTAGGGGACCTGCAGGATTTTCGGTCGACGATTCGTGCCTAGAATTTGGAACGGGTAACTCTCACGTTGTCCTGAGACCCCGGCCCGGATATGTGCCCAAAGTTCCCACCACGCCTTTCAGGGATCAGGTGGTGAACTTTCAAGCGCTGCCCCGGGAGGAGGCAGACCCAGCAATCGGTCTGCTCTGTCCCGTTCGCGCTCTGCGCATTTACGTGGACTGTATGCAGAGCTTCAGGACCTCAGACCAGCTCTTTGTCTGCTTTGGAGTTCAGCAGAAGGGAAAGGCTGTCTCCAAACAAAGACTTGCCCACTGGTTAGTGGAGGCTATAGTCTTGGCATACCAGGCCCAACGTTTACCATGCCAGCTGGTGTGGGGGGACTTGCCGGCTTCAGCAGGGCACTGGAGGGGGTCAGCAATAGTGGCGTTTTCCATACGGATCCCAATTCGTCAGTCACGACTGACGTAACGTAGAACGTGACTGACTAAAAGGGAACATCTAGGTTACTTGTGTAACCCTCGTTCCCTGAAGGAGGGAATGGAGACGTTACGTTCCGTCGCCACAGTTGCTGTACCACAGCTGTACGGCCGGGGCACGTAGTCTCGGCTCCTCAGCGAAAAACTGATGTGCGTTTGCACGCGCTCTCCTTTTATACTCGCGCTGCGGGGTGCGCGTGGCGAAACACGCACGCCAACTGTCATTGGCTTGTTTAGTTAACACTCGAAGGGGATTGGGCTCTCGGGCGAGATCCCAATTCGTCAGTCACGACTGACGTAACGTCTCCGTTCCCTCATTCAGGGAACGAGGGTTACACAAGTAACGTTAGTATCCTTAGCCGGATAAACTGAAATGAACAGCATTTCAAAACAAATTCTTAAAACTAATTTGAAGGCTGGTATTACTGGATTAGTGAAGGTAAATGCCATATTATGCAACTATGCCTTGCTTTAGAGAGCACTTACAGTCGACTAGATACGCACTGCTTTGAGAACTGTTATCAACGGAGTCGTAACATTTGACCCATTTGGGCTGAATCAAAATCCTCAGTACTCACTGTTATGGCTCTTCAGTTATTTGATAATTAGAGTAATGGACACAGTCAGAGATTTAGTCAGATTTCACCTGATGCCTCTGAATCAAAGAATCGATTCTTTTTTTAATCAACTCCCGCCCTACATATTAATAAATACCAAGGAGATTAGAACCCTAAATGGTGCCTCAAGTATCTTTTTATCATTTTTAAATTTTTCTTGCTGTATAATTTTGTCACAAAAAAGGCATGACTTAGTAGCAAGCATGCAAGAGCTTCGCTTTAACGCAGAGCTGGAAGCATTGACTTCCACACAGCAGCCACTCTGTCCTGATGATCTCTCAAACACAACACACTTCTGTCACACTGATGCTTATCGTGCTTCTGGCTTGTTAGACAAAGCCATGTCAATGGTCCATGCTGATGTGTGTGTGTTTGTGCGAGAGAGATAAAGAAGTTTGCTTTCTTCTGCTTTATTCTGAGTTTTTCTTGAAGGAAAATGAAAGGGTTCAAAACAAAATAATGCGTACCGAAATAATGCATGACATGCCAGAGGAAAAATCTGAAGTGTTTGCTTTTTTGTGAGAGGTGAAATATCAAACCTGTTTAAAGGGTTCAACCAAAAATAACAATTGTATAAATATCCCAATATTTCAATTAATGTAATCTGTGTAGCACATGTTATAAGGAGTCGATCTTCATCTTGCCTTCACCTCCTCGCAGAATGATTCCATGTCACTTAAGTCATCTTGGTTTCCATAGCAACAGCTCTCCTGGCTGGTACATGCTCCCTTTGTAGTAGGTGTTTGATGAGAATGTGCTTCTGATTTTATTTTCCATTCATTGTGTGGCTGGGCCGATTTGGTTTGATGTAGTATTTCAAAGAAAAAATGCTTTCGTTTGCCATCATAATGGTCGGCTCTTCCCCTTAGCACAAGCATAATATTGTTTTGGGTCAAGCATCAATTATTCATTATGATAGATAGTAATGATTAAAGTGTGAACCTAATAGCTTTCTCAGGAAATTTTTCACAAAGTAGCTCCACTTGTTATACAACACATTTTACCTGAAGTATGATCCCAAATCCCAAAATACATATTAGTTATGTAAAATTAAGCATTATGTAAAATTAACCAGGTATATAAACAAATTCGACATAGTTTGTAGAACTGGCAATCAATTGATTCTAATAACTATTTTTAGTTATTAAACTATTTTGTACAAACTTGATACTGCATGATGTCTGCAAGTAAAGAAAAATAAACCTTTTTCTTTACTTGCAGACATGTTTTTATTAGATTTTTTTAAATATTTGTTTTTGTATTTTTGACACATTTAAGAGTTTTAGGTCTTATTTTGTACTCTGTTTGTGGAAAGTAGCAGCTGTATGAAATCTTGTAAGATGAGGTGTCCTGCATTTACTTTCAATATCATATGTGTTTGATATGTCTGAGAAAACCATTTGAAGCATGACTTCAAGTGTACTGACGGATGACAGAGGTCTTTATCTAAACATATCCGTTCCACCATCACAGATCAGATTGTCAGTATATGGATTATCGCAATTCACTAGTCACAGACAGAGAATCCTGAAACGAGGATTCCTTGAAAACGCTTTCTCAGAATTCATAAATCTTTCCTTGAAAGTGACCTAACCATTAAAGGGGTCATATGATGCTGCTAAAAAGAACATTATTTTGTGTATTTGGTGTAATGAAATGTGTTTATGCGGTTTAAAGTTAAAAAAACATTATTTTCCACATACTGTACATTATTGTTTCTCCTCTATGCCCCACCTTTTTGAAACGCGTCGATTTTTACAAAACTCATCGGTCTGAAAAAGCGAGGTGTGCTGTGATTGGCCAGCTATCCAGTGCGTTGTGATTGGCCGAATACCTCAAGCGTGAGACGGAAATGTCACGCCCCTCACATACTGTTAATGCTGTGTTTATGCACCAAGAGCTTGTAACACTCCAAAGAGAAAGGAAAAATGAAATCGCATCATATGACCCCTTTAAAATCTAATCTTTTGGTGTGAAAAGAACTCAGGGTTTTTTATGTCTACACATAAACTTAATGATAGTGATTCCATTTTAATGACAATTTCAATCCCTATAGCCAATAATGCCTTAACCGTTATAGATTATTTAGTGTCCATTACACTGAGGTCTGTCTTTCTCTGGTGTAATGTCTGGAGGAGCAGGTAGATATGACATAAAATATGGAGATTATTGACAGTGTAAAGCGGGTGCTTCTTAAGGCTGTATTGATGTGTTGTCTTCGTCTGTTTATTGACGAGGTCTATCTCAGTCAGTTAACAGTTCAGCCGAAACGCTAAGGCCCCCTGTGACTATGTTTTATCCAGCAGGTCTAACAATAGTTATTTTTTTGGTGTCCTTCCATCCTTTAGAGTCTAGACAACCAATGAATGCATTGCCTCCAGACAACTGCCAAATGCTGCAAATCTTCCACCCACTGTGCTGCAAAAAGGATTAAACGGTTAATCACTGTCACGCTGTGAAGCTAATGGAAATTGCTGTTAAATTTGGCATATTTCTCTCAATAAAAACTCTGTTTGATGTTCAGTGCGAAAGTAAAATAAAACAAATTTTACCTTTCAGCCAATTTGCATGTTCCCATTCATTATTACCACTACATTTTGAATCATAGTGATTTTTTAATACAAAAAGTGAAATATGGATAAAAATACATTTAAATTATTTTATAAAATATTATATAAAAATGTTAAAAATATAAATAAAATTATATAAAAATATGATATAAACTGTTATTTATAAATATATGTGTTGTTTTATATTTAGTTCCTCACCACTACATTATAGTCTTTAACAAACAGAAAAATACACATTTTTACACAACATTACATATTGTGTATTCTGACTTTTTATATTCTCATCCGGTAAGATGATGACTTTGCCTCACGGCATTGAGCCTCTCATCAGAGCAGGGTTGAGACATGGACATGTCAGTGGACTCAGTGTTTGCCTTGTGGGTGTTATTCAGGGTTGGAGATTAGCTGTCTAAATATGACCCTCTCTCATTAGACAAACGTCACAGTCCCAAAGGACCTGCCTTTGAGCGGGATGCTGTCTGCATAGCTTGAAATCAGCACAGAACATTAGATCACGTTTAGATGCAGCTCACATGTCTCTTAACATGTTGTGGAAAAGAAATTAACATGTCTGCTTATGGTCTGTTTACAGCAATGTGGACACGGATGAGCTGTGTGGTAAGAGTTCACACTTTTTATTGTCAGTATTACTGGGAGGTTCACTGTGATGATGACAAGATGCTTGAGGCAGAATTTGGGGTTCTTCTGAACCCTCTGGAGACACACTTCAGAAATGACAGTATACTGAGGAGGAAGCCATGAGATGCTTCAAGAAATCTAAAGACTGACAATGGTTCCACCAGTAAGAGGGAAGCACTCACAAACATATGAAGTTTCTTGAATAAACAATAGGATATTTAAGGCATCTTTACAGACAGCCTAGAGGTTCTCCAGAGGGTTCTGCCTCAGGTATCTTTTTATTCAAATTATATTTAACTTGAAATGCATTACACTGTTTTATATACAGTAAATATGTGTCATTTATTTATATAAAAAAATTAATTATATATATATAATTTATATAATAATTTTTCAGCATCATTACTCCAGCTCTTCAGTGTCACATGATTCTTCAGAAATAATTATAAGATGCTGATTTGTTGCTTAATTATTATTAGTACTGAATTTAATACTGGTTCTCATTATTATAAATGTTATTATAAGTAACAGCTGTGGTGACTAATATTTTTGTGGAAATTATTATACTTTCAAAAAATTGAAAAAAATTCAAAAGAACAGCATTTATTTGAGATTGAAGTCTTTTGTAACATTATGAATGTCTTTACTGTCACTTTTGACTAATTTAATGCATCCTTGCTGAATACAAGTATGAATTTTATACTTTTAAAAAAATATTTTTTACTCCAAAAAAAATACTTTTTTACTACTGTATCACAGTTTCCATAAAAATATTAAGCAGCATGCTTTCAACATATTGATAATAATAAGAAATGTTTCTTGTGGAGCAAATCAGCATATTAGAATAATTTCTGAAGGATCATGTGACACTGAAATGTGGAGTAATGATGCTGAAAATTCAGCTTTGCATCACAGGAATAAATTACATTTTAAAATATATTAAAATAAAAACAGTTATTTTATATTGAAATAATATTTCACAATATTACTCTTTTTACTGTATTTTTGATCAATTAAATACAGCCTTGATGAGCATAAGATACTTATTAAAAAAACATAAAAAAGAAACCTACCAATCCCAATAAATAAAGGGAAGAAAGTAACTTACGAAAAATAAATTTTTATTTATTATTTAAAAATAACATTACAATGAAAAGGGCAAACATCAAGTATATTTTGCATTAGATAAATACAATATATATATATATATATATACATATTTTACGGTAGGTCTCAAAGTATTGTATTCAACTTTGAAAATATATTATATATACATTCTTATTCTATGCTAATACATATAATTATTTCCATTATATCAAATTATGTTTTTATGAAAACATTGTTGCATGTATCTTAATATTTTAAATAGTCTTTCTTTCTTTTAGAATACTTCTCTCAGCATCTTGGAGAATATGAAAACGTCCTCGCTGCCTTGGAAGACCTGAACGTATCCATACTGAAAGCCATGGACAAAACCAAGAAGGTGAGTTGCCTTCCTTGCCTTTGTTCAACAAATGGACTTGATCTCAATTACATACTTGACTGAAGCCATGTCTATGAGAAAAGATGGAATATAGTTCCTTATCTAATGTATGTCTGGCCATCCTCCGACTGAAAGCGATGTTAGCTGCGTACTTGAACATATGTGACCTTTGTGTATTTATGGCACTGCAGCCATTTGTGAGTAGGCGGCAGATAGACGTGATTCCTGTAAGCACTAAAATGAGTATTCTGCATGCATTCCTGAAGGCTGTCAGTGTCTTATCTTAATCACACGCAGCATGTTCTCTGACCACTAATGCAGCCGTCAGGTGTGTCATTTTCTCTGAGTCGTAATAAAGCTGTTCACGCCGTGCACTGTGAGCTCTGAGAGTGGATGAAGATGGATCTGATCTGCCGTGCTGCTTCCCACAACCTGTCTGTCTTCAACATGCTGCTGGAGAGATGAAGCTGTTTGATCTCAATATGATAAAGTGCTTTATTCATTTTTCATTATTAATTATCCATTTATTGATAAATGGATGTTATTTGTCAAGAATCAAAATCAGACTCTCAAAATCAAACAATTATGTGGCTACAAACTACAGTCTAAAACATTTTGTGTTTCTCACACAAGCAAAATTGTATGCACTGCAGTGTACCCATGGTTCTTCACTCAGGGGTACACCCAAGTTTGAAATAGCTGAGGACTGATGTTTGTGAACATTTGGACGTCACCCACAACATTATGGATCAATTTTGAGTTACCTTAAGAATCTTTTCATTTGTATGGTTCTATAAACTACACTCAAGCTATCATTTTATAAAAGACTGCTACACCACAGTCTTCTAATAAAAGTAGCTTACACTTTTAATAGGGAATTAGATGATTTAATACTTTAAAGTTATTTGGAAAAAGAACAACAACAAACATTTTAATTAGGGTAAATCAGGGGTTATTATCATAAACTAAAACTTAAAATATTTTCATTACTTGAAATAAAATAAAAATTAACTGAAATAAATGTATATATATAAACTAAATTGAAAAGAATATATCACCAAAAAACAACTACATATGTGTATGTACAGCCACACACACATATATATATATATATATATATATATATATATATATATATATATATATATATATATATATTACACATAACTAACAAAATGACTAAAACTTTAACAAAAAATAAAATGAATATAGAAATTGTATGAATAAAATCTAATTTGAAATGTTAGTGATACTAAAATAACACTGGGGTGAATGCATTAAATTAAGAAAAAATACAGCCAATAAATATTTTCAATCATAATTTATATAACAAAAATATGGTAGTACACAGCAGCATATACAGTGGGTACGGAAAGTATTCAGACCCCCTTACATTTTTCACTCTTTGTTATATTGCAGCCATTTGCTAAAATCATTTAAGTTAATTTTTTTCCTCATTAATGTACACACAGCACCCCATTTTTCTGTCGATATGGGGTGCTGTGTGTACATTAATGAGGAAAAAAAATTAACTTAAATGATTTTAGCAAATGGCTGCAATATAACAAAGAGTGAAAAATTTAAGGGGGTCTGAATACTTTCCGTACCCACTGTATATTTAAGTAAATATATATGTAGTATATACGTATTTCACTAAAAATAAATAAATAGAGAATCCACTTTCTTGCATGGTTTGTAGCACATAGTTTTAATATTACGATAATTAATATTTGTTAATACGTGATTGTCACAGTAATGAACTTCAATAAATTACTATAATGTGCTTGGTTATTGCACCACAATAATAATTATCTTTAAAACAGTTTGTATATTAGACACATGAATAACATTGAAAAACACATAAAAGAGATTTTAATACACAAAATCTCTCATGTTGAAACATAGTTATTGGCTGCAGTTTTACTCATATAGATGTGCAGTGCTGTCGGTGGTTATCAGCGCTGACAGTCTGGTCTGAACAGCAGCGTTTATCGTGCCGAGCGTCTGATGTCAGTAATGGGCACAGTCCACACTGACCATCAGAGGAGCGTGCAGATACGAGCTGCGTGCTTCAGTTCCCGAGACTGTCTGCTGCCTCGCACAGATAATGAATTAGCCAAGTGCTGACTCCAGGCCCAGCAGACATGCCACTTAATGCATGTGAGCGTCTCTGAAATGGAGTCGTCGGCATGAAGGGCAGTGCTGTGTCATTTCATTATGCCGCTTGATTAGTGAGGCAGACAGAGGAAGTGAAACACGATTAATGAGTTCAATGGGACTTTTTTGTGAACGACTACTGGCATTTGCTTCTGTGTTTATTGCATGTCCTTAAAGCTTCAGCATTACTGTGTGAGCAAAAGAGCAGTAAAAACAAATGTGAGAGAGAGGTGCAAATTGCGATTGATTGTTTTATCACTGCATGGTTTAAAGGTTTAGGTACGTTGACAGGTGCTGTCTTTTTTCAGACAGAATTCTTTTTGATTTGATACTGTTTTGCAATGTTCAAAGAGCATGAGGAATAACACACTACTCATTTAGAGGCAAGAGCCCAATGCCCAATATTAAACCTCAAAGAGAGGAACAGTGCAAGAAGGTTTTTGAACCTCCACTGGTTATAATTTACAGCAGTATGCACTAATCATAAAATATGTAAGGCAAAACACATTTCTAGGCATTAAAGTAATATTTAATATTTAATATAAGTAATATTGTGAAATATTATTAACATTAAAAATAAATGTTTATTTTAATTTTTAAAATGTAATTTATTCCTGTGATGCAAAGGTGAATTTTCAGCATCATTACTCCAGTCTTCAAGGTCACATGATCCTTGCCACTCAAGAAACATTTCTTTTTATTATCAATGTTGTAAAAAAATGTGTGCTGCTTTTTTTTTTTGTGGACACTGATACATTTTTTTCAGGATATATATATTTTTTTTTAATAAATAGGAAGTTCAATAGAACAGGATTTATTTGAAATGCAAATCATATAATTTGTAACAATTATGAATTTGCAATGAAATTGTTGTTTTACAACATTTAAAATGTACAGTTCTCTGTTTTGGAAAAAATTGACAAAAATGTTGATATAACACACATTAAATATAAATAATACTGACACGAGCTAGTGTAAAAGTTAATGAAATTGTTGTTTGACCACATTTAAAATGTACAGTTCTCTCTTTTGAGAAAATGGACCAGAATTTTGCTAACACACACATTGGATATTTATAATTGATTTGTTTATTTACTCAAATAAAGAAAAGGGCAAGGTCTTTTGTACCGGAACCGATTTCTTGTTTTAATAGGAAACATCACAATGGAAAGAAAACTATGCATGTCTATGTCCATATTTAAAATGATAGTTCACCCGAAAATACATTTAAAATGTACAGTTCTCTCTTTTGAGAAAATGGACCAGAATTTTGCTAACACACAGATTGGATATTTATAATTGATTTGTTTATTTACTCAAATAAAGAAAAGGGCAAGGTCTTTTGTACCAGAACCGATTTCTTGTTTTAATAGGAAACATCACAATGGAAAGAAAACTATGCATGTCAATGTCCATATTTAAAATGATAGTTCACCCGAAAAGGAAAATTCTGTCATTCCAAACCCGTTAGACCTTCATTCATGTTCAGAACACAAATTAATATATTTTTAATGTAATCCAAGAGCTAATGTGACCCTCTATAAACATCAGTGCAACTACCACGTTCAAGGCCCAGTAAGGTAGTAAGTACATCGTTAAAATAGTCCATGTGACATCAGTGGTTCAACCTTAATTTTATGAAGATACTAGAATACTTTTGGTGCACATAGAAAACAAAAATAATGTAATAAGTGATCAAATCATGCTAATCACACTGACTTGTGGTGAGAAAAAACAAGGTGTTAACAAAGGTATTTTCTTTGATCTCTCTCTTCTCACCACTTGGTAATGTGTACATCTCTATTGCATGAGCTCCATTAATCATGAACAACAACAGATAGTGATGCTGTATGGCAACAAATAGTGTTGTGTTTATTGCATAAGGCCACGAGTGGGTGGGCAAACCAGCTGCTGTGATACATGTGTTCTCTGCCCTCAGGACAGGACTCTATAAACAGCAACCACACTTATGAACATCATACTGTGAGCGTTCATATCATCCAGCCAATATCTCTTGCCTTTAGGTGGAGCCATGACAGATTTATAGCTCAAATATTAACAATATTTTTTTTTTATTGGTGATTTGATCTCCAAATGATGTTTTCATAAGCTTACCTTATAGTATCTCATTTAGTCAGTTTACAGGATCACACGTCAGCTTCAAACTTATGTAACAGCTTGTCATCGAAAGCAATGGTATATTATATATTCATGTATTTATTGGCTGATTTATTTTCAGTCTTAAAAAGGGCATTAAACATGTCTATGCAGAGCAAAATGAATGTGCTTGCATTATTGTCACAATCACTATGATTATTCTGAAGAATTCAATTGTGATTTATGAGGTATCATTTGCATGCTGCTGACACTTTGTATTGATTGTCTGAATGAGTGTTTACGTGATACGTGATTGGCTGCTGTGTGAAATGTTGGCCTCAAGCATCGACACTGGAAGGAGAGATTAGTGATGCTTGCTGCTTGTTGAACAGCCTCAGGTTATGCAGGTCTTGGTTGCAGTGATTCATGCCGAGGTTATTGTAAAGGTCTGTGTGTTTAACCCACTTTGTAAATACACGCGTGTTGGTGGATCTGTTGGATTTGTGACTGTCGACATCTTTAGTAAGTTCATAATAGATGTGTGGAGCAGCACCTGTTTCATAACTGGATGCTCAGAAAAATGATGTGTCCTGTTAGCTGAGCGATGTTCTCGGCTTTGATAATGGCTTTTCTTTGTGACAGAACACGGTTGCTTTGGCGTGCGACATAATTATAGAGGCGGCTGTTGATTCCTAACATTGAATAAGCGACGTACCATGTGCAAATAACATACCCATGCAGCCTTGCCTTTGAGACTGCGGATGTGAAACAGAATCTCATCCAAAAAGATAAAAGAGGCTGATTGAATGCCATGATGCATGAACTATTTCAGTCATGTACCTGGATTGCAAGTATGTGGAAAAAACGCTTAGCGTAGAGTGAAATGTTTAGGTTTAGGTAGCCTAGTTGTATTAGCTTGGCTCAGATGCATTCATTCAGCAGAAAAACCTACACTGAGCTTTTTGATTTTATCTGTTACAATTTCTTTGAGACTGTCGCTTTACATCCTGCCACTGTGAATGAATGTTACTTTTATACTGATAATAAGATTTATATAAAAATTCTACAGTACTGTATATCCATTCAAATGTTGGGGTCATTACGACTTTTTTTCTTTTATTACTCAAGGATGCATTATATTGATCAAAAGTGAAAGTAAAGACATTAATAATGTTACAAAATATTTCCGTTTCTAATAAATACTGCACTTTAGAACTTTTTATTCATCAGCGTATCCTGAAAAAATATATTTTCCATGAAAATATTAAGCAATATGACTGTTTTCAACATTGATAGTAATAAATGAGCAGCAAATCAGCATATTAGTATGATTTCTGAAGGATCATGTGACACTGAAGACTGGAGTAATTATGCTGAAAACTCAGCTTTGACATCAGAGGAATAAATTGAGTTTTAAAATTTATTATAATAGAAAATACGTATTTGAAATTGTAATAATATTTCACAATATTAGAGTTTTTACTGCTCTTTAATTAAATAAATGCAGCCTTGGTGAGCACAAGAGACTTCTTCCAAAACATAAAAAAAATCTTGCTCACTTAAACCTTTTGAATGGTAGTGTATAATAATTATTTTATGTTGTTGTTATATTATATAATTTGTACAAAACAAATATTTATCTATATTACACACATAAACACACATATATAAAATTATAAAATTATATATATGTATATATATATATTATAAATGTATAAAATGATAAAATACACAAATACAATTATAAAATAAACCTTCATTCATATTTTAGTGCAACTGAAAGGTCAGTGTATTTTAAAATCTCATTCTAGAGTAGTCGTGATAATGAAACCTTTGTCTTTAATTTGCAGGACTATCAGGAGGCTACGCATCTGGAGCAGTTTGTGACACGTTTCCTGTTGAAGGAGACCACCAGTCAGCTGCAGTCTCTCCAGAGCTCTCTGGAGTGTGCCATGGAGACCACAGCCGAACAGACCCGGCAGGAGAGGTAAGCCACCCAGAACACACGCTTACATTTTTTTAAGCATACAGTTTCCACCGTACATGTGTAGTGAGCAGGAGATGAGTGCATTTTCAATTCATTTGAAATTCAGAAGCTGAATGTCAGGCTCTTTCAGGGGATTGTCTGTGTGACAGCAGAGCAGAACTAGCAGTGGTATTATCATAGCATTGAGATATGTTTGACTTAATACAAATCACAGATTACAGTATTTAATTCAGATTTTAAATGTTGTTTGAGTGCTTTCATTATAGCTAGACTGTGACAGGATTAATGATGAAATATTAAAATGACACTGTATGTATATGTTGGACTTTGACAAAGTATGCATTCTTCCAAATGAAATCATACACATACATCTAAAAAAAAATTTGAATAATCACATTTTTGTTAAAAAAATCTCTTATGCTCACCAAGACTGCATTTATTTGATTAAAAATAGAGTAAAACTGTAATATTGTGAAATATTATTACAATTAAAAATAACTTTTATATTTAAATTTATTTTAAAATGTAATATAATCCTTTGATGCAAAGCCGAATTTTCAGCATCATTACTCCAGTCGTCAGTGTCACATGATCCTTCAGAAATCATTCATAAATGCTGCTCAAGAAACATTTTTATTATTATTATCAATGCTTGGAACAGTTGTGCTGCTTAATATTTTTGTGAAAACCATGATACACTACTATTCAAAAGTCCAAGGTATTTTTTTTAAAGGAAAGAAATACATACTTTAATTCAGCAAAGATTGAAAAATATTTTCAACATTGATAATAATGAGAGCCATTATCAATAATTTAAACCAATAAAAATTTTGCAGCAAATTAGCATATAAGAATGATTTCTGAAGGATCTGAGTGATGATGCCATCATAGGAACAACTTAAATTTTAAAACACAATTAAATAGAAAACAGTTATTTTAAACTGTAACAATAATTCACATTATTACCGTTTTACTGTATTTATGATCAAATTAATCAGTCTTGGTGAGCATAAAAGACTTCTTTCAAAATCATTAAAGCAACTTAATTATTCCTAGCCTTTGGCCGGTAGTGTATGTGATGACTTTATTGACTGTGTACTTAAAGCAATCACACACTCCCAAAGTATCAAACCTCTAGCATTTTTAGTGATATTGAGTGGATTTCTTCTGCACCAGTGGACATGTAGTCTCCACAGATCTAAACATTCACTGTTGAAAATGCATGTAAACAGTAATTGTGCACTGACTCAAGCAAAGGGGATTCTGAGCACAGCCATCCTTGGTATTGAATATCTAGAGCATCAGTGGCATTAATTGTTAATAGACCAGGTGACAAGCAGAACATTGACCCAGGCCTTTGTTTTTGTGCAGAAAGGGGACAGATGCCAGTTTGAACCATCACCGAATCAACAGAACCTGTGTGTGCGCATGCATGTGTGTTGTGCTTGATTAGCAGCTCATTTTGAGATCACAGCGTCTCTGACTCACTGCATTTGTGTGCTGAGGAGGGTCTGCTGCATGGCCCACTGTGGGGGTCCAGCAGCTCCTTATAGAGTGCAGAATTTAGAATACAAAATGAGCTGTTTTGTTCTAGCACCTGGATGATTGCATGCTAGAGAGTGCTGCGTGCCTGAGTCCGTATGTGTGTGTGTGTGTGTGTCACAACGTGCCCACTACCTCTCCTCCCTCTCAGTGTGCAGCAGCTGTGCTGCTCCGCTCACCTTATGATCTCAAGAAAATTAGCTGGAGCAGCTGGCCTAAAGAAATGAAGGATGCTGAGGTTTAAATGAAAGTGCTTCCTTTTCTTTTTCTGTCTGTACTTTAAACCACTCTGGCTCTCATATAGCCAGTCGCATCCTAATTAATTGGTACATTTAAATTACCTCATTATCGCCTTTGCAGGCGATACGGTGTGTCTAACTTAATAACTATGCGTCACTGAAATATACAGTTATTGGTAAAAACAGAGGCCATTATAAACACTATTTATGGGGGCTCCAGCCCCTCCTGTGTTAAATTTCAGCTCTATTAAAATATGTTGTTTTTTATATATATATTTTTAAATGTTCTTCATGGCACTTAATAGAGTTTGAGGATATGTAACTCTGAAACCTATCTTAGTTTTTATAAAACTTAAAGGGACAGTTCACCCAAAAATGAACATTTTGTTGAACTTAAAATAATATATTTTGAAGAATGTTGGTAACCAAACAGTTACTGGTAGTCATTTACCTCCATAGTTAGATTTTTTTTTAAATAATAATATGAAAGTCAGTGGCTACCAGCAACTGTTTGGTTACCAACATTCTTCAAAATATATATATTTTTATGTTCATCAGAATAAAATTCATACAGGTTTGGAACAGTTTACGGGTGAGTAATTGATGACAAGAGTTTTCAGTTTTGAGTGAAATCAAGCGTAGCGTTAGTTCTGGCAGGTCACGTTAGACTCTCAGCTGATCCCCATCTACCTACAGTAGAGGAATACGATACCTATCTAAGCATTCATATATATAAGGTCCCTAAGTATTATCAGTAGTTTTTGCATTGCTCAATAGCTAATTAAATGGCGAATTCGGCAGGCAAAACACCATCATCACTAGTAATTTAGAGAAGTGGAATTTGTCATTTCATGCATTCTGAGTTATTTACACTGTTCAGAGTTGGATTCTTATGCGCGCGCGCTCTCAGCGACCCAAGCGAGAGCAAGAGCGTGCCGCTTTACGTGTTTCTTCCATGGTTACGGAAGTCATCGGCAGCACAGCAGTTACTTGCTCGAGAAGACTAGGGTGCTCGAGAGGAACTACACTAGCCTGCCTCCGGCTGGAGAGAGTAGCCACTTGCTCCTGGTAATGACGCTCTCGCAGTGTTTGCATACTCTATCACAGATTAAGTGAATTAAACGTTTCTGAATTGACGTTTCAGAAACGTTTTCATAAAGCAACAGAAACACTTTTATATACTGCATAATACAGCGCCATCTGTTCATGAATCATGAATTATTCATGAATTATTGGAACATGCTTGTTCTAAAAGCTGTAGTCTTATTTGGAACATGCTTGTTCTTAAACTGTCTAGTCGTATTGGGAATATGCTTGTTCTTAAGCTTCCTGGTCGTTATTGGGAACATGCTTGTTCTTAAGTTATAGCTGTATTGTTGGGAACATGCTGTTCCAGAGCAATCCGGTCGTTATTTGGAACATGGTTGTTCTTAAAGCTGTAGTTGAATCGGAAACATGTTTTTCTTAAGTCTATTTGGTGTTATTGAGAATGCTGCTTAAGCTTTTAAGGTATTGGCAACATATTCATTAGGTCATCTGTTAAAGGCAACAGAATTGTTGCTACAGGTTATGCAGGTTTTGGCAACATATTTGATTGGTCATTGGTTAAGGGCAACATGCTTGTTGCTTAAGGGTTTGAGATTTTGCTATCAGTTTGTGTTGGGGGATATCAGCATATGGTTGTGTTTTGGGGGGTTATCGCTGCTCTCCCTGCAGGGAGTTCTTGCCCAGAACAGAACCATACCGCCAATACAAACGGTATGCTAATTGTCAGTCACATTTGATGATAGTGGTCCTGACAGAAATCAAGCGTAGCGTTAGTTCTGACAGGTCACGTTAGTCAAGCTCGCGTCAACTGACTCTCAGCTGATCCCCATCTACCTATAGGAATACGACACCTATCTAAGCATTCATATATAAGGTCCCTCAGTATTATCAGCAGTTTTCGCATTGCTCAATAGCTAATTACCCTCTTCCATCCCCAACTCCTCGACTGTCAGTCAGGAATTCAGCCTTCTGATTCTCCTTTGAATCAGACTAATTCTAAAATGTGTACATAAATTATTGAACTTTAACGATATCTGCAATACATTTATGTTGGTTTTGTTCCGTTTACCCTGGGGCAGGGGTAGGCAAGTTCGGTCCTAGAGAGCCGCAGTCCTGCAGAGTTCAGCTCCAACCCTAATCAAACACACCTGAACAAGCTAATCAATGTCTTCAGGATTACTAAGGCTATAGTACGGTGGCCGAGAAGTGCTAAACAAATCACAATTCTGAAAACAAAATAACAAATTACAAACGCAAATGCAAGTCTAAAAAACAAAATAACAAGTCAGAAAACACAACGACAAATCCGAAAACAAATTAACAAGTCAGAAAACACAACGACAAATCAGACAAACCGGAAGAGGTAGGTATAGTTTGAGACCACGCCATTGGTTTGGGATTACTCACCGCTGACTGGTCGAGACATCTATCAATCAATGTATACAGAGAAGAACCAGACGAAGAACAGCAGAGTCGTGGTAGAAAGTTC